CCCCAAAACCCCAAAACCCCAAAACCCCAAAACCCCTTGAAGTGAAAAATGCAAATATTGAAATGTTTTAAAGTTAAATAAAGACTAAAGTTAATTCAGTCTTTGTTGGTTACATAGATCTTAATGAGTTTGTCAACTGAGGCTTAGCATCTGTCACAGCGGAATTTATCTGTTTTTGATTTATAGCATCCCTCACACAAGTAACAATCTTTGCAAGGCAAGAAGATAAGATTTCTAGGTTCACTATTGCATTCAACGCAGGCGAAGTCTTCGATTTCAATCTTATCAATGCCCTCCCTCACGAAGGGTGGTGCATCTTTGATTTGAGAAGCCTTATCCTCTTGTTCAAGCTTTTGTCTAGCTAGGTACTATAGATGCCTTTTAAAACTCTGAACAAAACTGACTGCTGATTTGCCAGCATAGTATACTAATCCACCAACTATTGCCCCTCTAAAGCCAATACTCAACGCGTTCCATAATTTATCTGAACTGAGTTAACTCATGATGAAGTCCTTAGTGCCGTCAAAGAAGGCAATGGGATTGTCGATTTCCCACTTGTTTGTATAGGTGTTCAGTTAGAAGGTACCAAAGACGCTGAGGTTTTCTCCCTCGTATACAACCTATGAATGCTTGGTATAGTAGACATAGGATCCAGCATAGAGGAATGTGTTTATTAACCTGTTCCAAATGCCATTTTTAAAGCTTGAATCAGATTCCTTTTCAGCAATAGTTAAGTTATAGGCAGCAGTCTTTGAACTTGGATACACCTGTATATAGCGAATCTTCCCATCTCCTTTGGATTTCTCCATTAAGTAGAAGTTTTAAGCTTCAATATCTTTGTCAAAATACTTGTCTAAGAACAAACCTTTTTTGATGTAATTGTTTGAGGAGTAAAGAACTTTTTTTGCGCTTTAAGATTTGCTTTCCTCTAAAAGTTTTATGGTGTCAGAGCTACTTAGGTTCTTAGCATTAGCATTTAGAATCTATTTGCCAGAAACTGCCTTGCCCTCTACGAATATGATATGCTTTTTCTTGTCCTATTATTGATTTGCAGCAATTGCAATTGACTCGCTAACTGTTTTTATATCATTTTCTTTAAGATGCCTAGTATATTCTGAGAGAGTGCTGTGCTTCTTTACAAGTCTCATGACCTATAGAGCCTGTAATCCGCCGAATATGCAGCAAAGGGCACCGACTGTAGCATGCCCAGTCATCGTAAAGGTTTCTGACATTAAAGATATATATGGATTTCCTTAAAATTTATAAGTTAATGTTTCTCAATTCCTTATTAAAAAGTTGTTAATCATCCACCAAATCTTTAAAACATTAATAATTTATTTATATCAAACTAATCAACTCATTTTGCAAACTTAAGAAATCATTTTAAACTTAACTCAGTGAGCTTCTTTTTGCGACTGTACTTTATTTTATTCAAAAATTATTTATCAAAGTCCTTAGTGAAATATCTAGTCTCCTCGAAATCCTCAACTAAAGGTTCATAATATAGACTGATATATAAGTCAATGAACTTCTTATACCCCGCTTTACCAGTAATGAAGTCTTATTCGTTTATGAATTTTCCATGCATTTAATTGATTAACTGATCAAATTTGATCTTCGCTTATTATTACTCTATGTTCAACTCTTCCTTAGCCAATAAATCCACTGTATTTTCTTGTCTCTACTCAGCCATTAATCTCTCTTTAAGCATGTCCAATGGGTCCATATACTTTTGACTATTAGATTCACCACCTTTTAATGCCTTCTATTCTTTCTTCTTATCATTTGCTCTCATTTCAATGTATAGAGGCTCAAGAGAGAAGTATATCTTGTCCATGCAACTCTTCATAATAAGGTTTCTACTTTCAAAAAACACTATAAAGGTTAGAGGAATTCCTACAAATCTCTTAAGCTTTTTTAATCCAAAATGATAGGATAGGTATCCAATATTTAGACCTCCTATCCATGCCATTGTGATATACTTTGTTGCCCAAAATCTTATTTCATTAACTAGCTATCGATCAGCCATATCTTTGATTGTTACTGGGGCTTCTTATTCCTATAGCTGTCTATATCTTTCAAATGTGTACTAGATTCTCCTTGTCTTTAAAATAAAACTTGGCTGATCTTTATAGAGCTCATTGAATGGATTAATCCTAGCATAAAATTGCTTGAACACATTTTTAGTCTTTGAAATGTAGGAAGTGAGATTATACTAATCTTGAACAAAGTCTCTCGAATCATTTTTAATTTAATTCATAAATGCATCAGGATTGTTCAGAAAGTCAAGTTATTTCATGCCTTCTGTTTTAAGCTTTTCTCTTGAATCTTACTACCATTTTTCAAAGAGCTTCTGAAATTTTTCATCTGGATCCCCTCTGCTATTACGCTGCACCTAGGGTTCTGATAACTATGATGTTTGCTATTATAGAGAATTACTGTCCATTAATTTATATTATGATTTTACTAATTTAAATTCTATGAATACGTTGTGGGGTTTTGGGGTTTTGGGGTTTTGGGG